GAGGTCCTCATGCGTCGTCATCTGAGCAGAAACCTTTCAGTGACTGGACATGAGGATTGTTCAAGAGAAGAGGTGTTGAACCTGCTTCATCACAACACAGAGACACAAAGCTGCTGGCTTTGTTAACAGAGAGAGACGCGTCACGCCAGAGGAAATATTAACCACACGAGTCATTCAATAACGAGAGGAGCAGATTTATAATCAGAGGTCACCCACTCACATCCAGGAGAGTACAGACTGCTGCAGTAAGAGAATACTTTACCAAACATTAGACTACACACTTCAATAAATCATCTTAGAAACTCTTAAAGGAGCAATCTGCACTTTGACCCCTAGTGTTTAAAATGTGTACTGCAGTCTAAATTCTAAACATCATAGAGAGCTGTCCCCCCCCCCTCCTCTCTAGAGTGGATGCTCACTCAGGTCACCATGTGGTGGACTCTGAAGCTTCAGTGTTTATCCAGCTCTGCATGGGTCTGTAAACCTTTCTGTGTTCTAACCTCTCTCCATTTTTCAAAAGCATCTCCAATATTGATCCTAGTTTGAGCACGTTTCTGCTCGTGGAGCTTATTAGAAACATGCAGAGGCTTTTTAGGTCGGGTACAATCACTTCTATCTGAACCACTTCTCTTGACCGCTTCCATCGCTGCAACACCTGTTGACCTGATAACTGCTCTCATATCTGACAAACCGAGGGGCGTCCAAAACGGCCGTGTGGGGGCGTGTCTTAAAAGCGCCTACCTTCTCTGGTCCAAACAAATCCAGAGCATTCAGGAGCAGAATCTAAAGTTAGAAGGAGGACATACTGGCTGCTGCATTGTTGTCAGAGAAGCCAGCACTTCAACATAGCATGTTTCCTTAATAATCAGAGAGTAAGATACCTTTATCATCTCACTGATTGGACCTTTAAGATAATACATTAAGGCAGTTATAGTTACTGCCCACCCGTAATTTGATGAAGATGTTTTCTTTCTGTTTGCATCGTCTATTTCCTCTGCAGAAAGGGGTCCCTGAACGCAGCATCTATAATTCATGCAGTCTATGAGCACTCTGCTTTCTGCTAACAGGCGTTAATGCACAGAGACACCGCTGGAACCAGCTGTTATTTCTCTTCCTGCATGTTTGAGGGGAGCGTTCAGCCACAGAAACCACAAAGACATCAGGAGGTACAAGTCAACAAATCTCTTCACATATGTGACTCCTACTCTTCAGTCTTGTCTGGAGAGATCATGATGGGCACATTATTTAGGAAACTAGAATCAACACTTTGCAGTTCAAATCTCCAGCAGATCCACAAAACAACAACAAACAAGCTTTACAGTAAATAAAACCTCAACCCACCCTCTGCATCATCAACTGAAGACAAACACATCATGTCCACCCGGTCCGCTGAGTGCTTACAATCAAGTTAACATCGATTTGACTTCATTTCTGGGAACACAGAGGACTGAAATAACGCATCAGGACGACAGAGCTGAAGGTGAAGCCTCAGACATTCAGGAGATCAGTGAGGAGAAGGTTTGAAATGTGGATCAAAACGCTCTTACCAAAGAGCTTCTACTTTTTAAAGTCACTACTCTTTGAGAGGTGACGTTTACAGAAGGAGCCGGTCAACACCTGAAGGCATCTGTGGACAGCAGCTGACATGTCCCGGTGTTGATCAGTCTCTGTCCCGGTGTTGATCAGTCCCTGTCCCGGTGTTGATCAGTCCCTGTCCCGGTGTTGATCAGTCCCTGTCCCGGTGTTGATCAGTCCCTGTCCCGTCCCTGTCCCGGTCTTGATCAGTCCCTGTCCCGTCCCTGTCCCGGTGTTGATCAGTCCCTGTCCCGGTGTTGATCAGTCCCTGTCCCGGTCTTGATCAGTCCCTGTCCCGGTGTTGATCAGTCCCTGTCCCGTCCCTGTCCCGGTCTTGATCAGTTCCTGTCCCGTCCCTGTCCCGGTGTTGATCAGTCCCTGTCCCGGTGTTGATCAGTCCCTGTCCCGGTCTTGATCAGTCCCTGTCCCGTCCTGTCCCGGTCTTGATCAGTCCCTGTCCCGTCCCTGTCCCGGTCTTGATCAGTCCCTGTCCCGTCCCTGTCCCGGTGTTGATCAGTCCCTGTCCCGGTCTTGATCAGTCCCTGTCCCGGTCTTGATCAGTCCCTGTCCCGGTCTTGATCAGTCCCTGTCCCGGCTTCAACCAACCAAAACACTCCACCATGCTAACATCACTGATCTGAATGTGTCAATCAATATCGTCACCCAGGATGCTGCTGTTCTAACCAAGAGAACGCACCACGAGTCCACTGATTGGTCGGTTCATGTGTCAATCAATCTCAGGCTTGCCGCTGTTGCTAACTATGGTCACGCTAGCTTAATGTAGTTCATAAAATTGCGCTGAGAGTCAATTAGCCTCCAGTACCACACATTGTGTGAAACCTTCCAGGTGAGTCAAACTTTCAGTCACTTCCTGTAGCCTAGCTTAGCATTAAAGTTTGATGGTGACTGTTTGCAGACTCAACCAAAACTGAAAACATTTATTCAGAGCTGTGGGGTCGATGAAAACCTGCACATCCCGTTGGATTACCCGCCTCTTCAGTTTGTACCACACCTTAACCTTTTCATAAAGATAATGTATGGATCTGTGCAAACCTTCAACAAGTACAGTCAGGTTTGTGTTGAGCAAGAAAGTTTAGATTAACCACGATGAAAGACGAGAGTGCGGAGCTGAATGAGTTTGAAAGCAGAGAGTCAGGACTGAAGGCAGGAAACACAGGAGTCTCATGCTGCAGGAGTGCTGATGCGAGCGGCTGGGCGTAAAGCCAAACCCTGAAACTGAACTCATGTTTGTTTATGGAGGGAGAGGCAACAAAGAGCCGGCACAACCTGTTCTCCAGTGAGAGTCTGCAGGTCATAACACCTGATGAACAGTCAAACACACCTGCTGGAATACAGATAGTGATGCAAAGAATAAGAAACACGTCAAAACAGAAGATGCTGCTTTACAGAAAAACTAAAGTTAAAAATGTCACTTTTTGAATTTAAATCTTCACGTCTGAGAGACAAAAGCATCAACTCAACCTGAGAGAAAGGAACGCACTGAAACAAACGAGGCGGCTTCAAACACAAACTAAAAACAGAAAGATATTTAGGATACAAGTATAATCTCTGTGGATAACATAAACATGTCTGTCATATTAACATCTCACCTGTGAAGTCTAAGTACAGAAGTAAAACACAAATGATGGTTCAAAACGCAGACTTACCCAGAACAGGAGGTTGAAGATGAAGAGAAGATATTTGACACATTTATTGACAGCCATTTCTTTAATTTGTCTTTTCCTCCTCAGGAACGTCTCGCTCTCGACCGGCTGCCCTCGACAGATTCAGACTTCCCAACGAGCGACGGCAGACACACACACACACACACACACCCCCTCAGGCCAGTTAACCATCCTGCTCTACCTGTTTCCTCTCACTGGGGGTGCGTCCTTTTAGCTTCCCTCCTTCCCTACCCCTCCTGCATCCTTCTCTTTTTCCCTGCACCTGCTGCACTTCTTGTTTCCCCCTTTCCTTCCCTGCGTCCTTCTTCCTCTTTTTGAGTAAATAAATAATTTAAGCAGCCTTTGAGCCTCGAAACCAAAGGAGTTCTCCTGAGGGGAAACTTTTACTGACGTTTCATATTCGCTCCTCGTGTCTTGTGACGACCTCATTTGTTTTATGAAGTTGAGAAGTACCCGACACTGGAGAGACGGGTGGCAGGTTGGTTTTATATAACTGGAAAATCTCCCAGTTTGTGTTCAAGACGTTTTTAATGTTAATTTAATAATCGATGTAGTGTTTGTTGTTTTTAATCTTTTTTTATTTTATTATTGTATTAAATGAATCGTAACAGAAGGTAAATATGGTTCTAGTTTAATTATGGGGTCAGTGATTTTAAATCAACTCTTCATACTGAACATTTCTTCATAAAACATTTCAGTGAAATAGCTCACATGAATATAACTCAATTCTACCATCTAGTGGCAGCTGAAGGAAACTACAACCATCAGCTTCCACTTCTCCAGTCCCCTCCCTTTTCCCTCCTCGTCTGTCAATCAACAGTTACAGCTTTGCAGAGATAAGACGCTACACGAGGGCAGCATTCTGTGTTTCTACACCACGTCACTTTCTGAGCAGGTAAGTCATATTTTCACTTTCATGTTCGGAGCGACGCTGCTTTTGGTTTAGGACTTGTTAGTGGATCACTAACTGAACTTGTGCAGCTGGTGTCTGAATGTTTTTTCTGTGTTTACATATGACTCACACTTCTGATTGTAAAGGTCAAGCCCGTTCTGTTTATAGAAAGATCTTAAAACTGAAGTTAAATTATGAAAGACATTTATCTTATCCAGACAGAAGAAGTGTCATCATAGTGGGAAAGTAGATTTACTAAGTTATTCACCCGTTTAACCACACATCTGGATTATTGCAATGCAGTCCTGTCCTAGGAACCTTAAAGTTAGAATTACAAAAACTCTTTGAACTTTATACTGGTAAATTGGGCAACTGGTGTAAAGTTGTTAAACGTGCGTCTTATAAAATGATTTTTACAGAAACTTAAGGTCATGGAGAAAAGATGAGTTTATTATTTAATGGCCTTTGTTAAGAGCGGTCAGTAAGACAACGCACACTCTGACTTTGATCACGATGAGCCATTTATTTAGAGCAGCAAATGCATTCCTTAACTCTAACTTCAGACAAAAAGACTCAGAAACATAAAGTTCATAGCGGTGCGGTGGAAAAATTGTTTGCCCTTCATCTCTCACATCCAGTCTCCACACCTGAGCTAAATGAAAAGGCTCTGTCACACCTTCAGATTGCTTCTTTCATTCAGATGTCAGACAATGAGAATGAGTAAACATACAAAATGGCTTCAACAGCCTTAAACGAGTAAGACTGACTGCTTTGAACAGGAAGAGGGAACGATAGGAAAGGAAGCTGCAGCCTACGAGTGTTCATCACATTCTGGACGAACAACCAGCAAACTTGTGAGGCCCAAATGGGAACATCCCAGTGTTGAGGAAATATGAAGAAACTTGACTTCATACAAGAAACATTCAGAGTCTTACCAAGCCAGTTCTGTCAGACCGTCCCATAGGTGGGTCGTATTTATCCTTAAAGATGATGCTAAAGTCGAACGCATGTTACCCTTTCGACTCTACCTAAATCTTGAATGGAACCAACCAAATCCACTGAACAGCCTCAGTGGGTCATCAGCATGCTAGTGATGAAGGATGACTCACATCAGAGTCGTTAGCTGAGTCACTGGTCTAGTTTCAGCTAGAGTCGTTAAGACCCCAGTCGTCTGTGGATGTCGGAGTCACATGTTCCAAGGTGGGCCTGGGGCTTCAGTTGTTTTGGGAGAGAAATCAAAACAGCATTGTAGGCTGGTGAAAGATGGTGTCTCAGACCACCACCTCGGTTAAGGGATGGTTATTCAACCTTAACACAGATGGCTTCTTGAACCCCCCTCTCAAACAAACGGTCTTCCTTGGCCAGGAAGTGCAATTTGTCATCCTCAAAGGAGTGTCCTTTGTCCTGTAGAAGTGAAGGGACCCCAGAATCCTGTCCTGAAAAGACCGTGTGGAAATGTTGGCTGGGTATCAACAACGGAATTCCAAGAGCGGAGACCCAAAGATAGGATTTAAGAAGTCAGGATGTCACAGAGGTATGAATTTAGAGTCTGATTGGACGTGGATAGGGAGCTGCTCAAGAAGAGCTAAACTGTGGGCACGTGTTCAAAATCTGGATGTTGTGTGCAGAAAGATTGTGTGTTGTAAGGCAAATTTACACAGAAGGACATTCCTAAGGATACAGAGACCATGACCCTGGAAGTCGAGGCCCTTAAAGTGTGTCAGTTTTACTAATCTTTGGCTGTAATTATAATCATACGTGTCTTTAAGAGACTGAAGACAGAGGAAGAGGGGGGGTTAAGGATAGACAGTGTACGTCTGCGTGGCAGATGGAGTGGGCGGGGAAAGTGATGCATTTGAATTCAGCTGTGAGTGTGGATGTGGGTCTAGAAGAGTCAAGAGGTAACTTCCTGATCTCAGCGCAGTGAAACTATTTCTTCCTTTCTTCATCTGCTGTTTTTGGAATGGATATTGATTTTGGAGACTTTGAATGATTTTCTGTGGATGGAAAAGAAGTCTGCAGCTTCCCTCCTTTGTTGTGAAAGTAGTTGTTGCGTCTCTGGAGCTGGATTTTTACGACGACTTTCCAAGCTCTGCTGGTGGTCTTCAACCCAAGTTTGGTAAACATGGCTTTTTATATTGTTGACTGTCTATGTGGGTAGTTTCAGCTGTGTTTATAAATGCTTTATTGGGGTGGTTGTTGTGAAAAAAAGCTGCATGGTGAAGGGGTAATTTATTTCTCTCTTTAGTCTTGACTTAATTTTTTTATGGGGTTTTTTCCACTGCATACTAGTTTGATTAATTTACTACTACACCTCTTCAAGGCTTTTTGTAAAACCTGGTCGAAGGGTGTAGCATGGAAAGAAGAATCTATAAAATCTTGGAGCTGATTTGGCTCATAATTCTCGAGTCATCAGCTGCAAAATGCTCAGATGCTTTTGTTCCAGCTTGTCTTGATCTAAATCTCATTGCTGATTGCTTCAGAGAGACTGGTGCAACACTTCCTGTTAACAATCTTGTTGCTAAATACATTGAATGCTGTTTTAACTGCAACACAGCTTGTGTTTTTGATTGTTTCCTCATTATTTCAGCCTGCCTAAAGAAGTTTTGTAGGTCCAACAGCATGAAGTCATTTGTACCTGCAGAGTGATAGATATAATTTCTATAACCTTTCATGCATTTCTCGACAAGTATAAAGCATCAATTGCATTGGTCAGTCTTGTGATGTCATTCTTTCTGTTTTTTAGGATTCAAGGGGAAGGCTTGGGGATTCATCTGACACTGGTGGCTTCCTGGGAAGTATTACTGTCAGTCAGAAGAAAACAAAGTATCTTTGACTTAATCTGCACAACTTTAAAAAGGTAAGACGTCACACAGGGAACAGGATAAGTGAGCTTTTGTAACACATTCTTTGTTCCCATTCAAAAATTAGTCTGGTTTTACTGTAAGGTGTTCTAGTGAGATGGGGCTTGTCAGAACTGGCCTGAGAATCCTTTGAAAGAGTCAGAGACAATTTGTAATGTCACAATGTGCAAGGGTTTGTAACTTTAAAGGGGGAGTTGAATCTGCTCTTCTTTGCTGCCTCCTTGTGTGTGAAAATGTTTTTATACCTTATGAAACTTAACGTTCCTAATGCTAAGCTAGATGCTTGTTTGGGAGGTCAGTGTTTAATTATATTTGGCTCCTGCTTTGTAGAGATTTGTTACTTGGGTCAAAGAATCCCCAACATGAACATCCTCACAGATTCACTTGACCTTAAAAAGCAAAGCAGAGTTTTGGCTGGTGAAGTGGCATGAGATGGAATAAATCAATCATTCAATGTCCCACTAAATTGTTTACTTTTCCTTTTCAGGAACCCCGATGGCAAAGCTGAAAGAGGAGCTTTGGAAAATCCTTCAGGACTTGAAAGAGAAGGACTTCGAGCTTTTCAAATGGTTTCTGAATATAGATAATATCGTGGAGGGCTTTTCAGGAATTCCTAGCGCTCGGTTGGAAAAGGCGGAAAGACAGGATGTTGTAGATCTGTTGGTGCAGAAAAATCAGGTTACTGGAGCTCTGATGTTAACCAAGGCGGTTTTAGAGAAGATCAGCAGGAATGATCTGGTGGAGCGTTTGGAAAGCTCCAGCCCGGAAACAAAAGGTAAGTTGTGATGTAAACACCTGTGAGGCGTTTTAAATAAACCTCCCAAGCTGATCCGTTGCCAAAAATCAACTGTATGATGAATAAATACATATACAACCAATACTTAGATGAATAGGAGTACCCTGACTTGGTAATGGCAGATTACCAATTTATATGTTAGATTAGGCTAAAAAATATGAATCAGACTCCATAAATTAGGCATTTAGCAAATTGAATGATAAAATCACACAGGGAGCTTTATGTAAGACTAATCAGATGTTTGTCTTCTGTTTGTTTTAGACCTCAAGAACCACGAGTGTGTTGCTCTGAAAGGCGAACTTGAAAAGAAGAAAGTCGAGCTGGGGGCTAAAATCGAGCTGATGATCCAGGAGAGGGAGACGAAGATCGAGGAGATCAAACTCTCAGCAGAGCTCAGTGGCAAATCTGCAGACAGACAAATCACAGACAGCGAGCAGGCTTTCGCTGTGTTGCTGCAGACTTTGAAGGAGAGTCTGGATAATCTCATTGAGTCCATTAATGAGAAGCGGAAAACAACACAGAAACAGGCCGAGGAATGCATACAAGAGCTGGAGCAAGAACTCTCAGAGCTAAGAAAGAGAAGCGCTGAGGTAGAGAAACTCTCAACCACCAAAGACCATCTTAACTTTGTCCACAGCTTTGCCTCCAACACTAAGAACTGGACAGAATTCAGCATCACTCCCCCGTCATATGGAGGAAGTGTGGGGAGCACTGTGGACCAGCTCGAGAAAATGCTCAGAAAACAGAAGGACGCATTTATTGCAAAGGGGAAGCTGAACAGGGTCCAGCAGTTTGCAAAAGATGTGTCTCTAGATCCTAACACAGCTCATCCCAACCTCGTTCTGTCTGACAATGGGAAGCAAGTGTACTGTGGTGATGTAAAACAAAGCCCACCGGACTGCTCAAAAAGATTTCTTTCTGCCATCAATGTTCTGGGAAAGCAGAGTTTCTCTTCAGGAAGATTTTATTATGAGGTTCAGGTCAAAGGGAAGACTTCTTGGGATCTAGGTGTCGTCAAAGAGTCGATTGACAGGAAGGGATCAATCAACGCAAGCCCCGAGAATGGCTACTGGACTATATGTCTTAGAAAGGGAGAGAATTACCGATCTTCTGGAATCCATCTCCGTGTGAAATCCCAACTGGAGAAGGTTGGCGTGTTTGTGGATTATGGGGAGGGCTCGGTCTCCTTTTATGACGTAGATTCAGCACACATTATCCACACCTTTACTGGATGTTCTTTCACTGAAAAGCTCTACCCATTCTTCAGTCCTGGTCTTTATCTTTCTGGTAAAAACTCCGCCCCTCTTGTCATTTCTCCTATAAATTACACTGATTAGATCATCCACCGACTGATGGTTCTGCAATTTACAAGTCTTGCCTATTTCATCCTTATCAGACATTGTAACGGGTTTGACAAGGTTTTAATTTTGGGGTGCCAGTCAGAGTCAAGTCCGACAAACAAAAACTAAATGCAAACAAAAAAATAGCCAACCTGCACAAAATAGGAGCCAAGCAAGAGCAAAAAACAATCAAACAAAACAACAATGGGATTTCAAATATATATATTATCACAGGCATCAACCACACTGCAACAAAATGAATGTGAGCACTGTGTGTGTGCGTGTTTCACAGTCTGTGTTTGTAACTCAAAGTTCACTCCCTTCCGGCAAAAGTCCGCTCCGGTAACCCACAACCCACAGTTCAGTCCATTTCAGTTCAATGTTCAAATACAAAACAAAAAGTCCGCTCCGGGTTTTACGGGCCTCGAAAACAAATCAGGAAAAAAACTGACAAGAAAACCAGCGTCTCTCTTCGCGGAGCAAAAATCAAACACAAAGAAAGTAAAGACACAGCAGGCACTCACGGTACCGAAGTTTTTAAGTCAGTCAGTAGTCAGAGTCAGAGTTGGGCTTTGCTCCACCGGCCTCTCCTGACTCCAGGGATCAGCTGATCCTCCAGGAACAGGGAAATAAACAAATCCAACAGGTAGCCGGGCCTGACAGCAACGGACCTCCAGCGACAAAGACTTTAACAAACGGCCATACACGAACTTTCAATCACTCTTTACACCGAGGTAACCTTCTCCTTCACTGACTTTTTTCCAATGACTCTCCGCACCTCTACAAATGCCTCCTGGAGGACGGATTCAGACTTCGCGGGCACTGTGGCTGTTTTCCATTGGCGTGTGAGATGAATGTGGGTGGATGACGGAGGAAGCCATGAATGGAGGTGTGTACAAAGAGGATTCTGACTCTGCAGGCGCTACATGTATGTTACATTTTGACTGTATGATATTGAGTTTCCAGGTTTTATATTTTGTCCATAGAAAACTAAAATTTGCCCAACAGAGTCCAACAAGTTTCCCCATCATAGTCTGAAAAACAACGGCAACCAAAGTAAATGCAAGTAGCACAAGTAAACTGGGTCAAAAGTTATTGATAATTCCCAATTCCACATACTCTGTGCCCGTTTGCACTGTTGGTTCGGAAACAAATAAAAATGTGGATGTTTCCTTTCTTTGTCTGCTCCATATTTCATTTGCACTTTGTGATGTGTTGCTCCTGAAAGGTGCTATATAAATGAAGTTATTCATTTTGGGCTCTAGGTAATTGTGATGAAACATCGCAGTGTTTTTGGAAGATAAATCCTTTCAGAAAATGACCATTCCATGTAATCCTACACAAAACTAAAGAGATTTTCAGGAATTCTATTTTGGCTGATGACGAAACAAGATCACTGACTTTCGCTTTGTCGATTCCATGATATGACCTACAACCTTCACTATGAAGAAACTGTCACCAAGCATTCAGGCTGGATGATAAGGATGGTGACATTTTATTACTTCATACATACTGCGTTGATAAATGGTGTAAAGTACAGTTCTTTATACAGCACTTATGGGACATAATGGTACGAGATATGTTAAGCACAGTCCATTCCTGGAAATAACTTTTAGGGGGTTAAAGTTCAGCTGAGGGCAAAATGTTAGATAATAAAGGTAACTACATCAAACCGGGAAGGTCGTATTTGTTGTGTGAAGCCTTGCAAGTCAAACAGTGTTCTAAGATACTGCATTTAACTAAAACATTTCAAGGGATTTTAAATTACTTAAATTGTAGAACCTGTTTAATATAGAATTTGTACCTGTTTTTACATTACCATCATGGTTTTCCATGATTACATGACAGCTTCTTTTTTGACTTGACAATAGCAGTCATAAATGTTTTATTGCAATAATAAAACACAGACAGTTTTGATACCATGTCAAACATTAACAGGTCGAATAAGAAAAGCTGTGACAAAAGACAGTTGGAAAGAGTCAGAGAAAAGAGAAGACAGCCTCCACATCAGTACTTTCAGAAACTAAAGGAAGTAGCTCAATGAGCACGCAGTAGAGTTTAAAATAGATTTGCCGTGGTCTGAGTAACACAACGGAACATTCAGTGTTTGCAGGTGAGTCATTGTGGTTGAATTTATAATACAGCTACAGGAACATGTATCACAGTAAGATAGAGTGAGGAGAATTAACCCCACCTCCAATGACATTATCTGTTTTCAGCAAGGAGTTATTATGGCTAAACTTGAAGAGGAGCTCTTTAAAACTCTGCAAGATTTAAGAGAAGAAGAATTCAAGGAGTTCAAGTGGTTCTTGAATAAAGTTGACAACGGAGAGGGCTTGTCAGGCATCGCAGCGGCTAAGCTGGAAAATGCAGGAAGGCACAACACAGTGGATCTAATGGTAGAGAAGTATCAGGGTCCTGAAGGGTTGAGGGTTTTAAAAAAGATCAGCAGGAATGATCTGATGCAGCATTTGCAAGCCTTAAAAAAGGTAAGGGATTGGATGGTAATGGTGTACAGTAATACCAAGATTTTATGATTTATGAAATGCTGTGGGATTTCTTTAAATACAAGTCTGATTATTTGGTAATGGTTATGGACTTATTTGTAGCTTGCAGGCCCAGAAACAGAAACTTGACCAACCACCACTCAGATTTATTTATTGCTCTGGGAGCTCCCACAACTGAAATTTCAAAGCGCTTCTCACCAGCGCTAACTGTTGCTAAGCTATAAGAGTTTTTATTATGCTTTGTATGTCCTGTCCTGGCCTGGCATTAGCAGCAACTCTCCACCTGAAAATCACAAGTCTCATCCCTTCTTAAATCTGATTAGTCGTGAGGGGGAAGAGACATTGAATAGTTGAGCTATTTCCAACTGAGAGGGCTGTGAGCACAGCGACAAAAAACAGCTGCCCCTGAAGGGTTTTTGATCTTTGGGCGCTGAAAATGCGTTACTGCTTTGGTTTCGTATAAACAATAGGACCTGGCAGGGCAAAAAAACAGCATTAGTGGCTACAGGCACTATATAAGGTACCTGTTTTATATTTCTAAATCAACCTATTGGAAACAGTAATAAAATGTGTATGCCATTCTAATCATGTTAAATACTTTATAAAGCACAATAACAACAGCTGTCCTGCCAAGCTCATCAGTTTATTTGTTTGTGTTCTGTCTCCTTACAGACCTCGAGACACAAACTCCACTTTGAAAAGACCAAAATCATAAAAGAACAAGGTCCACGCTGAAGTGGGTCCAGCAGTTTGCAGTTGATGTGACTCTGGATCCTGACACAGCACATCCTGCTCTCCTGTTGTCTGAGGATGGCAAAGCAGTACATGATGGTGGTATACTGAAGAATCTCCCATGCAACCAAAAAAGTCTGTCTTGTCTTGTCTGTCTATGTAAACTGTGGGAATGGATTTGTAAAAACTGTCCTCATAAATACCCAAAGATTAGAAGTCCATGCACGCAGTTTACAAACCGCATCTACAGAGAGCAACAAAACTGAGCACACAGATTAGTCAACTTTGGGAATTAATTTACACACATTTTTTCATGTTTTCTTACTTTGTAGTTGTACCTGATTATGTGATACAGGCGTGTGTGTACAGCCTCAGAATGAAGGTTTGAATACAAATTCCTGCCGACTGATTCTGTCAAATGAAAAAGTAAAAATAACGCGCTTTGAAGAAAACTCTTCTACAGTTGTGATGATTTGTCAACAGCAGAACCGTCTCTTATAAGGAAGAAGTGAAGGTAAGAAATCCTCCAGAAGAAAAGTGTGAAGAAACCTTGACTGAGAATCTATTGTTATCACTTGTAAATATTAAACTCTGGTAAACATCTGTTCATGCTCGTTTCTTTTCCTTTCTTACTTGAAAAAAAAACAAAGTGAAAATCAGATCTCCAGAATTGTATTCCTTAATGTTTTAAAATGTGATTAATGTGATTAATTTACATTCATATTGAATTATCTTTATGTGTTTCATGAGTTTTTTCTTTCAAATTAAATGTGTTTGTACATTTTAAAGGCAACATGGGCTAAAATCCTCATAATAAAAACAACAGCATCATTTCGTGATCATTCCTCTTTAACTTTTTTATTCTTGTGACTGATAAAGATTTTATACATACTTTAAGAAATATTCATTTCTTAAACGAATGCACCCGCTTGTACAAAGGTTCTTTCAAAATAAAGCAAAATGAAACTGTTTTACTTTCTGAGACTTTCAGATAAGACTTTCGTTAACGCTTAAGGTCACAATATTCTCCATCAACTAGCTGCTTATTAGCATGCTAATTAGTAGCATGCTAGCTTCTTGTATTATGCTACTACTTAGCATGCTTATAAGCAGCTAGTTGATGGAGAATATTGTAAGCAAACATTTATTTGACTTTAACAGTTAACAAAGGCAGTTAGTGTGGAATTCAAACTTGATGGTAAAATAGTATCTTTCAGGAACAAAGCCCTCGCCGTGTTGATTTATTCTCCTGGACGACAGTCTAACACGTTTTACGAATAAACAAAGTCAAACACAAATGTTCTTTAACTTGGAATATGAGTGACCTCTCAGACGACCACACGATGTTTCAACAGCAGGAACTTAATAACCCTCTCTTCATTCAGACTGAAAGAACTTTCATATAATAAATCAATACAAACATGGACGACTTGAGTTGACGCTTTAGAAATCAGAAACCAAACCTCCGTGGCGTTCAGTAGTCCGTGCTGAAATGCTTGTTGACTTTGGAAACAGGAACGCAGACGATGAGGCTGATGAGGAAGAACTGTTTCTGCTCCTTCAACCACACCAGCTTCATCCTCACCCGACCCTCCCGCTCCCGGTGCTCCATCTCAAAGTGCTCGCCGCTGTAGTCGAAGGACAGCGTCTTCTTCGCCATCGTGGTCCAAATGGGCGAGCTGAGACACCAGAAGGGCTTTTGGAACTCGTCCAGCAGAGTCAGCGTTATGATGCAGCAGTTCTACGCAGCGCAGGAAAAGAACCATCAGAGCGGGGAAAAAGAGCGGGGTGCATCCCATTTCTTTTCCCAACAGCGGAGAAACTAACTTTACCCTCTAACCGCAGATCAGATCACTGCAGCGTTTAACTTGTAAGGGAGCGGTCACACTGGCCATCCGTACCGTGCCCAAGCACGCTTCAACCCTACAGTCCGGTTCGTTTGACCGGTGTGACCGCTCCGCTCCGTGATCATGCACGAGCACGCGGGTCCACAACGCTGACAGCCTTCATTCAGGAGGAATCCAGAGTTCCATGTGTGTATCTGACATGACTCAATGTAAGACCAAGTATCTGTCACGCTCTCTGTGCTGTTCTCTGATGTGCAGACTCTCTCTCTCTCTCTGTGTTTCCAGCTCCGTGCACTGAGCTTATGAAGGTGAAATGTTTCTGTTTTAATTATAGTTCGTCATGTTCTTACAATAAAGAATAATTAAACCATAATGAACCATCTGGTTTCTTCAACTTTCACTCAGGAACAAAAATCAGCTTTTACATTTGAAAGAAAAACTTATTGACAATTATCGATATCGACTGATATGACATTTTTTTATCGTGATAAAATGTTTGTCATATCGCCCAGGCCTAGTTCAAACACATCTTTAGGTGAAAATAAAAACTCTGAGTGTTTTTGTATCAGTCAGGAAGTTGATATGTTGTGTCTCACTGCACGTGTCGTACCTCCACTGAGCCCTCCAGCTCCAGGCTCTTCCAGGGCAGTTTGATGTTTCCAGACAGCGAGCGGTGCTGAGACAGGTTGGTCCTGTTGATGACTCTCAGCTCCACGTGTCCACGGTGGATCTGAGCTGATGAACGGGACAACAACAACATTATTGACCTTTGAACCCAGCGGAGCTTTTAACCCTCATGCATCATTATGTAGTCCTCTTTATCTGGCCATCACTTTGTCTGTATTAGTGCATATGGCACACATTTTTGTAAGAAAGTGTCGTTGGATAGGGTTACTCTTTTAAACTTATTGTTTAAGAGATTTATGCAACAAAAAAAAAAGTAGAAAGAAATATGAATCTGTTCTATTTTTAAAGCAGTTTTTGTAAATTGGACATTTTCGCCCCCCAATGTCCAAACAGGGAACTACATTATCAATCTGATGCTACACAAAAACTAACAATGCATCAAAGTCAATATTTTGGATAATCTTTGACATATCCAAGACTGATGTAAAAAAATCCCCCGGCCACCAAATATTTGTTATATGGAAAATAACTCATTTATGTGTTGTTTATTTTCATAAATAACAACAGGGACATCAAGTAATCAAACTGGCATTTAAAGGGTTACATTCCTAATTCCTTGGATGTTTGGTAGTGTTGAGCAGGGCTGAAGTTGTTTAAGAGATATTTTTAGTGGACATGTTTGTCCTTAGTGACTTCAGAGGGTCGTAAATTAAACTGACGCTTTGAAACGGGTAAATCAAGTCACATAAAGTTAATATCACGTGTCAGGTGACCTCTGCGACAGGAGAGCTGGCAGAAGTGTCCCGACATGATCTCCGTGCCGGTGTTGTGCAGAACAAAGTGCAGAGAGAAGCCGTGCAGACCAAACTCAGGGTCCGAGGGGTCCGGGGGTGGGAGGTCATCAGGCTGAGAGTACGGGCTGCAGGAGGGACAAACAAGACGACAACCACAGAGATCTTTGTAAAGAGATGGAACCTTCAAAAACTTTCCCCAAAAAACATCTCAAATAAAAAACATGCAGTAAAAAGTAACGGAGCGGTGTCGCTCATACAGCGGTAACCTTTGTCAACAGGCTGTTGTCATGGAGACAGGACGGACGTGCAGCACTTTTCCCTAACCCACAGCCAGGTGGACACGGGGCCTAAACCATCGTCTCACACTCAGGTAGCTCGTGGTGGTCAGTCTGCCTGTGATGTTATGACATCATCTCTAATATTCAACTCCACTATGGAGAACATGAAAGTGAACGACACCGTTGATAACGACCTTTTAAATAATTAGAAATAATGATGAAACAGAATAAACATAAATATCTTCACAGCTGAATAAATCTTTATGAATACTCCTTTAATCTCGTCTCGGTTCTTAAAACCTGCAGTGACGTGTTTTGAACACTAGATGGCGCTCTCGTTGCGTCACTCTGACATCATCGACCTTCACGCTGGTTTCACAGACGATGCTGCATAAACGACGGCAGGGCGACGTTTCTGTCGATGTTCTGAATACAAATATAAACAAACATCTGTTTCCGCTGTGCTCGGCTCTGGAAAAGAGAACGTGTACACTTAAAGAATAACCAGAATTATTTCACCATATCTGAGACCTGTATATTTATTTTCTTCAGGATGAAGATCTGTCACATGTTTTGAGCTCGGCTGGTGAAGAGTTGGCGATGTCTGTAATCGTGGTCGTTTTAGAAACTGTTCTAGGGCAGAATATTTGTGATTAACAAATCATCTATGACAATGTTACTCCCGTCGGTTGTTTTTATTTAATACAGACGGTAATTATGTTGCAACATTTTGTAATTCAAGTTTTTTTATTTTGTATTATTATATTTTACTTTCCCCCTTATCTTATAAATGTGTTTATATGTGCATGAGTATATCTTTATGAATCTTTTTTTCCTTAGAATTTATTTAATTGTGTGTTTTGGCAAAATGTTTAAAACTCAATAAACATATTGTTAAAAAAAATACAAAACAAACATCTGTTTCCGCTGGGTGGCGGTGAACTTACCAGACGGGACATCCCAGCAGACTTTTCTCCACCAGCTGATGGAAGTGCAGACTGACCATGACGAACGCCACATTCCTCTCGCCCTGCACACACGTGAATAAGAACGCAGACGTTACATTCTCACACACGCAGGACGTCTGATGCGTCTGTGCCGTACGTCACCTCTCACCTCGTCACCTCTCTCTTTCAGGGGGGCGGGGCTTCCTGAAATGATCTAGGAGTTCTCAGGAGCACGTGTGTGAAAACGCCTTTAGAAGACGTCAGAGAAATGTTCACTCACCCGCCAGACGCCGATGATGAAGTCGGGGGTCAGATGCACGAGTGTGATCAGCCGGTCTGTGCCGATGAATCGACCACACTGTGTGGTCAGGTCGAGCGTGGAGATCAGAGAGCGCCAGCTGGGCCTGATGAGGAAGAGGAGGAGGTGAAGGCTTGGAAGAGAGAGACAAAAAGAAGGAACGAGTGTCTCTTACTTCCCGGGTTCGGACTTCTTCTGAGTGTCCTTCTTCACTCCGTACAGCTCGATGGTTCTGATGTTTTGGTATTTGGGGAAGCAGCTTCCACTCCAACGGACGATCACGGACGACTCGAAGAAGTACGCTCTGCTCTGCTCCATCGTGCTCTTCTGTCCGTAGTGATCGCACACCGTCAGCTCCCAGCTCACATTCAGGTTCCTACACACACACACACACACACACACACACACACACACACACACACACACACACACACACACACACACACACACACACACACACACACACACACACACACACACACACACACACACACACACACACACACACACACACACACACACACACACACACACACACACACACACACACACACACACACACACACACAGTGCTAGTAGTACCTCAAAAGTAATTGGAGTAAAAAAGATAACTATTGACCATTCCAAAAGAGTTGAAAATAAAAGTTTTGAGTGAGGAAAAGAAGGGTTCAATTATGTTTTTACTGGCAGAGGGTTACAGTGAGCATGAGCTTGCTTCCATCTTAAGAACAAGGTCAGGCAGCAGACGTTGGGGACAACAAAGCTACAGACCAGACAGAGGGCGAAAAGGACTCTCCACTGAACGGAATGACCGTCAACTCATTTGAATGTCACTCAGAAACAGTGGGGTGACATCAAGTGGCCTACAAAAACAAATGGCAAATGGCAGCTGTGGTGAGGTGCATGGTGAGAACATTTAGAAACAGGCTCCTAGGGGCTCAAGTCGTATAAAGCTAGAAAAAAGCCCTTCATCAATGAGAAGCAAAGAAGAGCCAGGCTGAGGTTTGGACCATAGAGAACTGGAGTAAGGTCATCTTCTCTGATGAGTCCAATTGTCAGCTTTGCCCAACACCTGGTCGTGTAATGGTTAGACGGAGACCTGGAGAGGCCTACAAGCCACAGTGCATCGCACCCACTGTGAAATTTGGTGGAGGATTGGTGACGGTCTGGGATCGCTTCAGCAGCGCTGGAATCGGGCAGATTCGTCTTTGCGTAGGGCGCATGAATCAAGCCACGTACAAGGTTGTCCTGAAAGAAAACTTGCTTCCTTCTGCTCTGACAATGTTCCCCAGCTCTGAGGATTGTTTTTTCCAGCAGGACAATGTTCCATGCCACACAGCTAAGTCAATCAAGATGTGGATGAAGGACCACCAGATCAAGACCCTGTCATGGCCAGCCCAATCTCCAGACCTGAACCCCATTGAAAACCTCTGGGATGTGATCAAGAGGAAGATGGATGGCCACAAGCCATCAAACAAAGCTGAGCTGCTTGAATTTTGGTGCCAGGAGGGGCATAAAGTCACCCAACAGCAATTTGAAAGACTGCTGCAGAGCATGCCAATACGCATGAAAGCTGTGATTGACAATCAGGGTTATTCCACCAAATACTGACTTCTGAACTCTTCCAAAGTTAAAACATTAGTATTGTGTTGTGTATAAATGAATATGAACTTGTTTTCTTGGCATTATTTAAGGTCTGAAAACACTGCATCTTTTTTTGTTATTTTGACCATTTGGCATTTTCTGCAAATAAATGCTCTAAATAACAATATTTTTATTTGGAATTTGGGAGAAATGTTGTCAGTAGTTGATAGAATAAAACAAAACTGTTCATTTTACTGAAACACATACCTACAAATAGTAAAATCAGAGAAACAGATAATTTTGCAGTGGTCTCTTAATTTTTTCCAGAGCTCTGTGTGTGTGTGTGTGTGTGTGTGTGTGTGTGTGTGTGTGTATATATATAGTAGAGCTGTGCATCTTCACTGGTTCATAGGGTTGAACGATTCATCCTCACTTTTCTATTTTACTGCACATGACTACTTTTTCATAAACAGAGACAAACAGTCTGATAAATATGAACTCCTTTTGTACAGTTTAAAAAAGTGATTTAGATAACAATGTGATTATCAATATCTTTACATTGTAAGTTCAAATGAATACATTATAGAGGCAGCCTACAGTATAGGTAATAAGTTTAGTTTATTATAAGAGAGAAAGATGTTTTGAAGTCTCTAGATGACAGATGTTTTGAAGTCTCTGTGTTTAGTTTATTAGATGACAGTATTATGTTTTGAAGTCTCTGTGTTTAGTTTATTAGATGACAGTATTATGTTTTGAAGTCTCTGTGTTTAGTTTATTAGATGACAGTATTATGTTTTGAAGTCTGTGTGTTTAGTTTATTAGATGACAGTATTATGTTTTGAAGTCTGTGTGTTTAGTTTATTAGATGACAGTATTATGTTTTGAAGTCTCTGTGTTTAGTTTATTAGATGACAGTATTATGTTTTGAAGTCTCTGTGTTTAGTTTATTAGATGACAGTATTATGTTTTGAAGTCTCTGTGTTTAGTTTATTAGATGACAGTATTATGTTTTGAAGTCTCTGTGTTTAGTTTATTAGATGACAGTATTATGTTTTGAAGTCTGTGTGTTTAGTTTATTAGATGACAGTATTATGTTTTGAAGTCTCTGTGTGTTTAGTTTATTAGATGACAGTATTATGTTTTGAAGTCTCTGTGTTTAGTTTATTAGATGACAGTATTATGTTTTGAAGTCTCTGTGTGTTTAGTTTATTAGATGACAGTATTATGTTTTGAAGTCTCTGTGTTTAGTTTATTAGATGACAGTATTATGTTTTGAAGTCTCTGTGTTTAGTTTATTAGATGACAGTATTATGTTTTGAAGTCTCTGTGTTTAGTTTATTAGATGACAGTATTATGTTTTGAAGTCTCTGTGTTTAGTTTATTAGATGACAGTATTATGTTTTGAAGTCTCTGTGTTTAGTTTATTAGATGACAGTATTATGTTTTGAAGTCTCTGTGTTTAGTTTATTAGATGACAGTATTATGTTTTGAAGTCTCTGTGTTTAGTTTATTAGATGACAGTATTATGTTTTGAAGTCTCTGTGTGTTTAGTTTATTAGATGACAGTATTATGTTTTGAAGTCTCTGTGTGTTTAGTTTATTAGATGACAGTATTATGTTTTGAAGTCTCTGTGTGTTTAGTTTATTAGATGACAGTATTATGTTTTGAAGTCTGTGTGTTTAGTTTATTAGATGACAGTATTATGTTTTGAAGTCTGTGTGTGTTTAGTTTATTAGATGACAGTATTATGTTTTGAAGTCTGTGTGTTTAGTTTATTAGATGACAGTATTATGTTTTGAAGTCTGTGTGTTTAGTTTATTAGATGACAGTATTATGTTTTGAAGTCTCTGTGTTTAGTTTATTAGATGACAGTATTATGTTTTGAAGTCTCTGTGTTTAGTTTATTAGATGACAGTATTATGTTTTGAAGTCTCTGTGTTTAGTTTATTAGATGACAGTATTATGTTTTGAAGTCTCTGTGTTTAGTTTATTAGATGACAGTATTATGTTTTGAAGTCTCTGTGTTTAGTTTATTAGATGACAGTATTATGTTTTGAAGTCTCTGTGTTTAGTTTATTAGATGACAGTATTATGTTTTGAAGTCTCTGTGTTTAGTTTATTAGATGACAGTATTATGTTTTGAAGTCTCTGTGTTTAGTTTATTAGATGACAGTATTATGTTTTGAAGTCTCTGTGTTTAGTTTATTAGATGACAGTATTATGTTTTGAAGTCTCTGTGTTTAGTTTATTAGATGACAGTATTATGTTTTGAAGTCTCTGTGTTTAGTTTATTAGATGACAGTATTATGTTTTGAAGTCTGTGTGTTTAGTTTATTAGATGACAGTATTATGTTTTGAAGTCTCTGTGTTTAGTTTATTAGATGACAGTATTATGTTTTGAAGTCTCTGTGTTTAGTTTATTAGATGACAGTATTATGTTTTGAAGTCTGTGTGTGTTTAGTTTATTAGATGACAGTATTATGTTTTGAAGTCTGTGTGTTTAGTTTATTAGATGACAGTATTATGTTTTGAAGTCTCTGTGTGTTTAGTTTATTAGATGACAGTATTATGTTTTGAAGTCTCTGTGTGTTTAGTTTATTAGATGACAGTATTATGTTTTGAAGTCTCTGTGTGTTTAGTTTATTAGATGACAGTATTATGTTTTGAAGTCTCTGTGTGTTTAGTTTATTAGATGACAGTATTATGTTTTGAAGTCTCTGTGTGTTTAGTTTATTAGATGACAGTATTATGTTTTGAAGTCTCTGTGTGTTTAGTTTATTAGATGACAGTATTATGTTTTGAAGTCTCTGTGTTTAGTTTATTAGATGACAGTATTATGTTTTGAAGTCTCTGTGTTTAGTTTATTAGATGACAGTATTATGTTTTGAAGTCTCTGTGTTTAGTTTATTAGATGACAGTATTATGTTTTGAAGTCTCTGTGTTTAGTTTATTAGATGACAGTATTATGTTTTGAAGTCTCTGTGTTTAGTTTATTAGATGACAGTATTATGTTTTGAAGTCTCTGTGTTTAGTTTATTAGATGACAGTATTATGTTTTGAAGTCTCTGTGTTTAGTTTATTAGATGACAGTATTATGTTTTGAAGTCTCTGTGTTTAGTTTATTAGATGACAGTATTATGTTTTGAAGTCTCTGTGTGTTTAGTTTATTAGATGACAGTATTATGTTTTGAAGTCTCTGTGTGTTTAGTTTATTAGATGACAGTATTATGTTTTGAAGTCTCTGTGTTTAGTTTATTAGATGACAGTATTATGTTTTGAAGTCTCTGTGTTTAGTTTATTAGATGACAGTATTATGTTTTGAAGTCTCTGTGTTTAGTTTATTAGATGACAGTATTATGTTTTGAAGTCTCTGTGTTTAGTTTATTAGATGACAGTATTATGTTTTGAAGTCTCTGTGTTTAGTTTATTAGATGACAGTATTATGTTTTGAAGTCTCTGTGTGTTTAGTTTATTAGATGACAGTATTATGTTTTGAAGTCTGTGTGTTTAGTTTATTAGATGACAGTATTATGTTTTGAAGTCTCTGTGTTTAGTTTATTAGATGACAGTATTATGTTTTGAAGTCTCTGTGTTTAGTTTATTAGATGACAGTATTATGTTTTGAAGTCTCTGTGTTTAGTTTATTAGATGACAGTATTATGTTTTGAAGTCTCTGTGTGTTTAGTTTATTAGATGACAGTATTATGTTTTGAAGTCTCTGTGTTTAGTTTAT